TCACTGTAGGCAAGCCCTGGAGTATGTTGAAAGGGATACTGCGACGACGGCATTGGCGGGTGGTGTTGGCCGGACGGCTGTCGAGAGAAATTCGGTGCCGGAGGTGCATACTCATGCTGGTTGAAGCGGTTTCTGAAGGAGCGAAACGACCAGTTGCTGACAACGGTGACAGTTGAGATAGTAGCAAGGAAGAACATCTGCGTATAAGTGGTTAGCTTATTATTAATAAGGGAACAGAGTGAGTGGACCACGTACAATTGCCTTCCAGCTGATGGGATCAATAAAGCTGTTGATGATGACAGCCATCGTATGAGCTGACACCTTAGCCCGTCCAACTTTGGCCGGGTCCCGGTTCATGCAGCGTGCCCAGTTTTCGCATACCGTCTCCAAAGCTGGTAATCGATCTTCACCACCGCACTTGTTGTCCACGAAGCTCTTCGTGCAAACAGCAATCTCAGCCAGGATTGTATCAGACTCTTCCTCCGCAGCCTGCTCAAATTCAGCACGGATGGCCGACACAAACCCGAACACCACGTAGACCGTGAGCGAGAACAACGACAAGTTCACCACCAACTGAGCCCACCATGACAGAATGCTGGGGACGTTGGGATGCGCTTCGAGCAAGGCAAAAAATTCCGAAAACGACGACAACCGCGACGTAGACTTTCCTTCCTGTCCCTCTTTTTGTTTTGAGTTTTTCCTGCCAGCCACTTTCCCTTCACTGCTGCTCGGCCGATCGCTGTCATCATCGCTTTCCTCCTTCCGTACTTGTAACCCAAGCACCTTGTCCCGCCGACGTCGCTTCTGTACCCGTCTCGCCAGCGCGTTGGAGTAATGGTTCAATCTGGGAATCTCGCCGCGTCCAGGACTGGGCGCGAACTTGCCGTACATGCCAAATAGGGAGTTCCGATGTCCTGCTTTCGCGAGCTGCTCGGGCGTATCCTCGTTGTCCGCGTTCTCGGGAGACGACATGTTCTCGGCTCCGGAGGAAAAGTCCAAATCGAATTTGCGCGGTGTCGTGAATGCTGACTGTCCAAAAAGCGACTTGGGGTTCTTTGAGGATGAGAGAGACGGATTCTGGGAGAAGAGGAAAGGTTGCGAATTCGGCGCTCGCAGAGCGGGGATTTCTTTCTTCTGAGGCGAGTCGAGGATACTGTGAGGGCCTATTTTCAGGTTAGATATTCAAAGCTTCTGTAATTTAGAGTAATGGCGGAAGACGCACGCTTTTTCTGATTGTCATGTTGCATGCTGAGCTGGTAGAAGGGTGATGTGACGTCCCCGGGTGCTCTCGTCTGCCACTCAAAGTCCATCGGACTCTCTGCTGACCGTTTCTGCATCTTGAGTGCTACTGCATATAGGAGAGGATGCGGGCTTGAAGATCAGGGACGCTCGGTTGAAGACATCAATTCTAGAAATTATGCTGATAGTTTGGCCAGGCCCGTCGCTCAGACGACGACTTTTATCATTCTTTGTTTGGGGCCGTGGAGTATTGCCATAACAGGTTAGTCTTACCGCTTCTAGAATCGCGCTCTGGAATCAATCATTGTTGTGGTTTTGATTGCATGAGACAACATTCTTTGGCTTGACTTCTGAGAATCATCACATATTATTTAGTCTAAATACAGGATTATGAAGCTCTAGTTTGATATTCACGTATTAGTGACGGTATTTAAACTGTGGCTGCATTATGCTGCAGTATAGCAGCGAGAAGCTCCATGTATACTCCATACTCCACATTTAAATAGCTGGCTGTATGTCACATTGTATCTTTGATCCAGAGATAATGCAGAGACTTATTGCATCTTTCTTTCTATTTTCATGGATAATTTGTTTAGCGACTAGTAACAGTAAATTGTATTTTTTGGCTTGACCTTTCTCATGGTAATAGATGCCCCGCACGAGCAGAAGGGAAATCATTTCATCGGTCGCGACTCATTGGTGCCCAACTTTACTTCTAGCAACATCCTCGTCTGACTGCGACAATTTGAAGACAACTTGATTATATTGTATCAATCACATATGAATCTGAATGCGATGGATTTCATACGGTACTATTGGGGTATAAATCATTCTGTCTGATGATAAGAGTCATGATCACGCAGGGCTAATGAAGAACAACGACGAAAGAAGGACGGTCCACCGGTAGAATCGACTGATTCCATACGAAAATCAGTGAGAGACAAGCACAAAAATGTTCGAAGCATACCATCCTGAATCCAAAACCAGCGATTCGCGAGGAATAAAGAAGCTCTAAACCAACTCCAATCCCAGAACCATGTCAAGCAGCGCGATCAAACGCCAAAATATGGAACCAAGTTGAAGACGAAATGAACAAGGGAACTCGTCACAGCTGAACATGGTCTACCAGCTCGAAATCATCGTCAGCCAGAGAGCCAGTTCCCATCTCGCTCTCACGTGAGACGATCTCATATTCCTTGACCAATTTCTCAGTCTCCTTTGTCTCGAACTTCTCCACGGCCTTGTTCACAGCATCAGACAAAATTGTCTGACCAGACACCTCATATGGATTGAGGGTTTCGTCTTCGTCAACGATCATGACTTCGGGGCTCCTTTCGACTGCGACTGGCTCCTCGACTTCCTCACCACTAGACGAATCTGAGGTACCGTTGTCGAGGATCTCTTGGACATCATGGTGCAGGGAAATCCTGGAATCACGCGCGAGCTGGTTGAGGTTGTGTTGATTCCAACGCTTGATGGCGCTGAAGTCAAGGTCAGCTTGCGGTTGAGTCTATGTCATTCTTGCCTATAAGGACAACTCACGGAGGATGACGGTGCAGTGGTTTCGCAGGACGAGTTATTGGCAGTAAAGGGGCCTTCAGGTTCCCCCGAGGAAGCGCACATCGGCCACCGTAAGCCCATTTGGCCTTGAGATCATGCTGTCTCTTTGCTTCGGTACCTGCCCGTCGCAGATCACTATTGACGACAGTCTCGGATGCCATGTTGGTTGTTGGTGAGGGGAGAATCAATGATGAGGGGCGGTAAGCGGCGTGGGTGAAATGGCTATTGGAAAGAGGAGGCCGGATAGTGCCTGCCGTTGACTAGGGAAAGGTTGCCTGGGAATGTTTATAAGCCAAACGCGACAAGATAAGAAAGAGAGACGGAAGGCTGATGAGTAAGGATGGGACCAAGGCGCGATCCAAAAGTAAATGCTTTGGTGACAGGGCTGTCTTTGTCTGAGTCACCAGGGTTGGCGTCCAGTCATCGATCAATAAGTAGCAACCGCAGCTGGAACAAACTGCCCAGCATCCATGGTTTCCATGGATGAAACTAGGCAATAAATCTTGAAAGAGAGAAGAACCCTTTTAACAAGAAAACAGGACGAAACAACAGTAATCAGCCGGATGACGCCAGGGTCCTCGGACTGGAGGGAGAGGGGGCGCTCATTGTCTATGCTGTTATCAACCATCCGCATGCACCGCAGGCAGCACGAGGACTGGATAAGGCGCTGCTGATTGCGACATGCCAGCTTCTGCTGATTGATGGATTGATCATTATGATCTCGGCAGTGGTTCCCTCGTCTAGACAATCATTACTAGTCTACTATAGAATAGAACTCTCCTCTTGTCCTTATTCCGCGATGAGCGATCTCCCTCATTTCCCGTCTACTACTCCCTAAGATTGCTCTCTCCACATCTCCCCCTGATCCTTATCGCGGAACACGAGGATCTCCCGAGGTACCTACAGTAACACTTCAACAGAATTCAGTAATCCTTCGAACGCCACATCATCAACCACGGTTCTTGGCCACGCATCATCATAATTATTGTCCCTTACCAAATTTGGTCCCCGAGGTTTAGGTTACTTTGATCGCTCAAAGCAGAGCCACTGATGGATGTATGTCGTCGTCGTCGATCCCTTACAGCCTCAGGGCACCCGTTATGTCCAGATGACTCAAAGCAACCTGACGTAGCGTTACGCGCCGTAGACTACTAAGAGATCCCAGTACTACATCAACATGCATCGATCTTACTCCGAACTAAGGACTGTCGAGTAACAAGCTGAAAAATAATAAGCAATGCAAGGCGAAGTCCAACCAGTCCTCACCCTGAGTCATCTCATGTGCAAGCGATGACGCCGCTGATAGGGAGTATCCGGAGGAGCTTGGAGCTTATCATCTGCCTAACGCATGGATACCTACGGAGTACTACTTACCCACCCCGCGCAACCTACTATATACTGCTGCCTCTTCCGAATGACTTGCCTCTGGGTCTGGCTCTGGTCAGCTGTTCGACTGTCATCATGGTGGCATGCGTTTACGGCGAATTGCCCTGTGGAAAGTTCTGGTCTGGTTTCTCGCCACTTTGAGCTCACATGGACATGTGATTTGAGTCGAGTGGCTGGTTGTAGACTAAGGTACTTATTTATGGCTGGTATGTCGTATGTCTTGATGATAGTGATCTTGTAGGTGATTGTAGTGTGTTGAGTCTGTAGCACGGAAGAGATATATATGACTTGCCATCTCCAGCCACATAAGTCCAGCAATCAGTAGATTCAGGCTATATATATGATGTTTGGAACACAAAGTTAATCCTCGCTATGCAACGTGAAGTTAGCTCAAATAGAGCAACAGAAGGGACGGCTTAACCACAGGATCGGTGCTTTGCTTGCGTTATTCGATGAACACTCCATTTGAAATTGAGCGGAAGAGAGAGCATCGATCGTCTTAAGGGCATGTATACCACAATACTAGAACGAAAGGTAGTTGGCTCTCGCCTATCTATTTCACGAAGCCAGTTACTCGATTCTGGCGACTTTACGAGGAGTTGAGCGCTGCCACGCCCAATCATGGGTTCTGGACATTTGTAAACAGTATTAAGGTGGTCTGAAGGCATCGATTTTGCATCTCGGTCTTCCAGATGTCGCCCTTCGATGAAGCTGTATGTATTATTTGGAAATGAGAATAACCGTAGTATCATCAAGGTGTCCAGCACCATTTTCATACCGAACCAGTATGAGATAACCACGCCCTGCAATGCACTTTACTCATCCATCTGCCACTGGTAATCCAACGCTTCCAGTCTCCCCTTCTTATTCCTCGCTGCAAACCATTCCTTCTCGAACCCATTCCCCCGATCCACCCCATCCCACCGATGTCCCGGACGGATGCCATACCGGTTCGGCTGAAAAGCCCCCTTATACAGCGGCTTCCCCGTCACACTCGCGCCGGGCCCTTTCGTCTTGGTCAAAAACCCAGCCGCAGGATCATTCCACCGCGGCTGCGCCTTCAGCTCCTCATTCAGGGCATCGTCCTCGATCGTCCGCGCAAGCGGCATCGCGCGAGCCTCCTGTACCTGCTGCCTGCGCGCCTCCCGCTCCGCCCGCTGCACATCGCCCATCAGCGCCTCCTTAGCCGCCTCCTCCTTCTCGCGCTTCTCCTGCTCCGCCCGCCGCGCCTCCGCCCGCTTCAGGGCAACGTTGATGATCCGCCCAGACGCATCTCGGTAGATCGTCTCCTGCGCCTCCGCCGGCCGCTCTCGATGCCGCGCCGCCTCGGCCTTCTTCCGTCGTTCCTGCGCAGCCACCATCGCCGCCGTCTGTTCCGCCGTCTGCAGTCCCGCCCGAGCACCGGACTCCATCCGCATCTCTCCTCCGTCGTCGGCCTCAGCATCGTCCACAACAGCAGGGGCCTCGTCGTCGCCTTCCGCTCCTTCCCCACGGCGGGCTGCGCTTTCCGCCGCCGCGGAGGCTAAGATCGCGTCTGCGGCGTCCCGCTCGTCATTCGTGGGACCACCCAGCGTCTTCCAATTCGACTTTTTCGCGCGGCGGAACTCCGCACTCCGGACGGAGGTAACTAAACTCGGACCCTCGTCATCCTCGTTGCCAAAATTCGTCGCCGACGTCCGTAGATCGGGCGGGTCGTCGTCGGCGATAATGAGGCCGTCTGCGGCGGTGTCGACGGTTTTAGTCTTCTTGCGTTTCTTTTTGGGGCGTTCCGTGGCTGGATCGGCTGTTAGGTAGTTTTTGGCCAGGTATTCCGCTAGTGATGAGGAGGGCATGGTGTTGGGTCTGGGGGGTTCCAAATTGGGGTTGGAGGTTTGGCTTGAGCTTGAGCTCGAGTTTGGGCTGGGCTTTTGCTGCGCGATCTTGCTATCGCGCTGATAACCGGGGATTTAGTTTTGCCGGTGCTCGTATCCGTATCCGTATAGCGTATCTGTCCCTGCGTCATACAACAACATCATCAAGCAAGGATAATGATTGTGATGATCAAGTAGATAATGAACTAGAATTATCTCTCAAATTTGAAGAGGGAAAGCATTAAGATGCCCCGCTCCGACGAGGCAGAATGGTGGTTCAACGCTGTCTACGAAGCCGTTCAATCCATCCCCTATGGCAAAGTGACCTCCTACGGGCATATCGCCCTTCTACTCGGCGAACGTATGTAGACCTCCCTTCACATTTTCCCTTTTCCTTTCTCGTCTGCCACACCGTAGGTTTGAAGCAGCTAATCGATGTAATAGCTAAACGACCCCGCCAGGTCGGCGTCTGTCTCAAACACCTCCCGACAGATACATCGCACCACTTCCACTCAGGCAATGTGCCCTGGCAGCGGGTGGTTAATTCCAAAGGGATGATTTCTCATCGGTATGTTGATGAGATGCGTTTCAGAATCCCATGATGCTGATTTCCGCAGGGGGCCCGGAAGTGCTGAGCGGCAGGCCGAGGCGCTGCGCCAGGAAGGTGTCGAGGTTGATGCCGACAACATGGGTGAATTCTACGTAGATTTGGCGCGATATGGCTGGTTTCCGGAACGTTTGCCTGGGGAAGAATCCGACGATAGTGAAGATGAAGACGAAGCCGAATAGGGGGAGAAAGCGATCGTTCTACGGTCTCAACTCTTTATGTTGCACTTGGTTTGTCTAGAGGTCTAGGCGTGTATCTCATCTCATTCATTCGTATCCACAGACCCTTCAAGAAGTCTGCTCAATATCAACCAGAAATTTGTACCTCCGCTCCACAATCGTACTCTGCAGCTGGCTTTGACGAACACAGACTCCATATAGCCCCTATCGGACGTGTGTCACAGCATTGGTAGAAGGCTACCGTGCCAAAGAACGGGAGAGTCGTAAATCTTTCGGGCATTGGATCTAATGAAGAAGACAGTCTTGGAGGGGCCGTGCGAGACCAACTCTGAGCAGGGTTGGAAGTATAAGACAAGAGGTGATCAGGCTCTATGATAGTAGAGAACGGGCAGTGAGGGTGAACGAGCCCCACACTTGTTGAGAGAAGCACATGGTCATCATGCAACAAGGAAAATATATCATAACACCCCGTCCACTGCCAAAACAGAACCAAATGGTAATCGACGGGGATCCACACAGAAGACGAAAAGGAATAAATAGGTAAGAGATTGTCACTGACTCATATCTGATGTGCTTTTCGCGTTGTTTGACTCATCGCTTCTTGACTTCCGAGGCCCATCCATCGATCCCTTCGCCCCTACTACCAGGTGGTATGCCTAGGTCAATACCCTTCATCCCGGGAGTGTCGCTCAGCCATTCATGAGCAGCCATACCACCGGCATTGGCACGTTTCTCGGGTGGCAGTTCCAGCATCGGTAGCAGGAATTCGCTGATGCGCATACTCTCTTCGACCGAGAAATGATACTTCTCTCGTAGGACGTCGGGCAAAGCCCAGTGGCGTAACCGGTGGATATTCCGAAGTTCTCCTTTGCGGTTGAAAATCTCTTGCGACCACTTTCCGGAGAGACACAGTGATTTGGGGAAAGGACCGAGTAACTCAATGATTTGTGCAATGTGATCGTCGTCTTTGCCGTACTTCGTTCCCGACTGGGGGTCGAAAAGGTAGTCGCCCGTAATGAGCTCGAATACCTACCGGAATTGTCAGTTGATCGCTTTGGCTACAACGAAGAAGAATGTGATTTCCAGACTGACCATGCAAGCCATACTCCAGATATCTGTGCTCGCACCCCACTTCGACCCCAAGATGACCTCTGGCGAGCGGTACTGTCGTGTCTGAATATCGTTGGTGAAATGGTGACCGACCCAGCACGCGTTCCCCAGGTCGGCAATCTTCACTGAGATGATGTCACACGGAGGCTCCTCACTTTCTTCTTTGGAGGATTGCTTGTCAAGCGAGATCCCCGAAACCTCTCTCTCCAGCAGATCACTAACTCCACGTCAGTGCACCAGACCTTCGACATATGGACCGGAATCAGTTTCCAACATACGTAGTCTTCTCCCTCTCTTTCTGCTTTTCGTCCGCCTTTATACCTAATAACTCCTTCATCGACGCGCCTTCTTGTGTAGATGTGTCTGCAGATTGTCAGCGGGCGTGGCTTGAGATGCCACGGGACGATTTTGTTTAAAACGTACTGGATGATTCAATAACCTGGTTGAGACTGCTGTGTGAGTTGGAAGAGCTGTGCTTGAAATCATGATGGCTGAAACTTGTGTTGAGTGGACTGGGCAACGGCTGACTCCCAGTTATGAGGGTCCTCCTTCGTCGCCGGCCGCTGCGGCTATCATCTTTATTCTCCTTCTTCGCTTCCTCCTTGACATATGTCTGCACAATTTGTTCCACATCGCCAATCTCAATCAGAACGTTCTCCGGCTTCAAGTCTGTATGGATGATGCCGCATTCCCGGTGCAGATAATCTAAGCCCAGCAACACCTGTTTCGTTATTTGCTTTACCAGCGGCATGGGAATACCCCGATGGTTCCAGCGCTTAATCAGGCCAAGCAAATTTTCCCCCAGCACCTCAAACACCATGCATACATGGACACCATTTGGACCCTTGTGTTCAAATGAATCAAGCAGACTGACAACATGTTTCCGGCCGGGATGGGAGGGCTTCGCTTGAACGATCTTATTCAACAATTTAATCTCATCGATAGCGGTTTCGGTGTAATGCGCGGCGGAGCGAACAACTTTGAGCGCAACGTGTTTTCCGGTGGTGGTATCGCGGGACAGCCAGACGGTGGAAAAATGACCCCAACCCAATTTGCGCACGACGACATACCGTCCATTATTGTATGTTTCGCCCACGGTGACTGGGTGATAGCCACCCTTGCAGTAGTCCTCCGAGTCTTCCTCTTCAGCAGTGGTTTCGAGTTCTTCTGCGGACGATGACGAGGCCGACCGCGACGGCGGGATATCGTATGCGGACTTGACGGGAACACTGCCACTCATGTTGGTTAGGGAAAAAAGATCAAATAGCGCTATGATACGGGAGAACGGGTATAAGAGCGGAGAGAAAAGAGGGCAAAGAAGTAAAATATTTGTATCGTCAAAAAGAACACCAAAGCGATAATGCTAAAGAAAAGCAAGAGCGAAGCATACCCCTCAGTAGTTGTGGCAGATGGATCCATGGCAGGTGAGGCGGCGTCGTTGGTAACGATCGGCTTCAGATCGGTTCCTTTTCTTTTCTTCCTACCGCCATTGCCATTTGCAGCATTCGCAGCGACGCTTGCCATCTGTTTTCCCTTGTTGATGACCGCCTTGGTTATATCTACCCCGTCCATCGTTTGTATATCGGAGGATCGATGCGGGTTGAGGAAGGTTAAAATCGAGAGGATCTGGAGAAGGAGGGGTACAAGGTGTTGGGCCGGAGAAGGCGAAGCTGAGTCCAGCCAAGCTCGGTGTGTCTGGCGGCGGAGGGGTGGATTGTGCGATTCTATGAGGGGTTGGTTCAGCGCCCGCGACCGCAACCCAATATGACGGAGGAGATCAGTGGGATGAGGCAGTAGTATTGGGGAAATATAGATGGTTAGACAATGGAAGAAGGAGCAGAGTAAAATGTAAATCGGTCGAGATATTCGAAAATAAACGGAATATTCTCAAGGTAGAAGGATGTGCGTAAATGACGCAAACGATAAGGCCGAACACATATATAGAGGGGGGGCTGCGGGCAATTATGGTAATAGTAACGTTTCACGATCTAAGATCCGATCGACTTCCTAGCGTTGTCGATTCAAATACTCAGCGAATTGGAACGAATCAAACAGCAGAAAAGGAAGAGTTGCAACAATCTGGTGGTATGGTAGATGGAAATGCAGACGACAGGAATGTCCGCAAGCAGCAGCCGGTTTCTCTTCGGGCGATGTTGACAAGCCAAGCCAGCAACAACAATAAACTTAACGGATGTGGCAAATCGGGACTGGGGCTTGAAGGATACTAGTTTCCTACCCTTCAAAGGTCAGGCCTGGCCAGTGGGGGATCAATCATCGCTTGGAAGATAAAACTCGACTCGTGCATTGATGATTTAGGACTACAGGCTTTTACGAGGTACCTGGGAGACAAAGGGGACTGAGGAACAGGAACATGACGGATGAGGGAACCGTCTCAATGATGACGATCGAACAGATTCATCCTTTCCCTTGATTCTTCTGTTTGATGGCCCTTGGGCCCGAAGCTGACTGGCCCAGTGCTGACCATTTGATGATGGATATCCACTTGCGTATGCACGGTGTTTCCCCGGATCCATCATGGTCGTTCCCTTACAAGCCTTCTACTGCTTTAAAAAGAGTACCCCGATAGCGCCTACCCAACTGGGTTCAACAATGTCATTATGATTAGTTGGCCAATTGATTCGTCCAGTAATGAAAAGGGATGTGGTCCTCTAGGAAGATTCCATAAAAGGATAGCATCGACGGATAAGCCTGGACTTCAAAATATCGCTTGATGAACCCTCTTAACGCACCTAGTGATGGATGCACTTCTGCATGATCATTCTTAGGAGATGTCTGATCACACCAGCGATCATCAACATGAACCACATCCATTCAGCTGAAGTCCAGAAAATGACGTAATGAGAGTTGAACAAGTAAGGCTTCATACCCCTGCCTTTGTAACAACGCTATCAAGTCCTTAAACGCTAGTTTTGATTGATGACTTGGTACATGAGCGTACATATGCAGGGCCATGAACATGCACGTAGTTCCGTTTGCAAGCTGGTTCCCATTGATAGTATGGTTTATCGTTCAAGCGCTTCCAGCTTCCCAATTGCTCGATTCCCTGTAAAATTGGTTTAACATCC